AACACCCATGGTATATTCATAGTATACTCATGTATATAGTCTGCTGACACCCTAGTCCAAAAGGTGTCCCTAACTGGTAAGATGCTAGTGTATGTAAGACTCGGGTACTAGTGTTTAGACTACGGGTGTATGACATAAACAACACCCATGGTATATTCACAGTATACTCCTGTACATAGTCTGCTGACACCCTAAGTAGAACCTAACCGAACAATAGAATTTTCTTGTTCACGCAAAATGTCTGTAATGAAATAAAAAAACCAAGAAGATTCTCCCGGACTAGTTTCATTTTTGATATCGTTTTGACATGCGGTATGGCGAACATATTCATTGGTCATCTATGAAATATGTGGTCAGCTTATGCCGTTAAAATGAGGTGCAGGATGATGGGCACGAAGATGAAGGGGCGCAGCACATTTTGGTCTTCTAGAAGATATCAATGATTAGCTTTAACACTGTTAAAGCGAAGCACAAGCTGTTAGGCGTAGGCAAAAAGTGCCGCGCACTGTCAATCGTCTCTCCTTTTACCTGATAACGTTATCAGGTAATTTTATTAGGTAGCGAATCAAATCCTGAGTTTGTTTGAGCGAGTATGCTAAAACTCTAACTCGCTAACTTTGCCTTCTTCTTTTCGATCAAAACAATGTTAAGCGTTGAGACAAAGTCAACGCGAACGTGATTGTACCGCGTATCTTTGACATGAAACTTGAAAAACATCGAGGGTGGGTTTCATTGGTCACGAGTTAACGAACCAAAACTGCTGTTTTCAGCCCCCCCCCCCCCCCCCCCCCAAAAGTGACTTGAAACATAGATATATTTCTTCATAAAATATTTATTTACACGTTTTATGCGAGTTAGTTTTCTCTTACGAATGCGTTATTTACACAAAATATCAAACAAAACGTATTGGCAAATATCTGTCACATGAATGAATCGTGAGTCGAGTTATCAGTAGGTATTGTTATCAGTGTTATTGGCGATGACAACTGATATAGATAGATATAATCTAGTTATGGCTTGAGCTCTGGGTCGTTCTTATAAGTGGTAGCGAGTCGAGACCATTAGGCTACTGGATCATTCAGTAACTGCAGATTTAACAATCGCTAGAAACCAAGCACAGTTGGCCGCACTTTTATTCCGTGATAATCTATCCACCCCGATACCCATTTGCCTTAACCCAAGGCTTTAGTCATTCAGTCGTACATGAATCTCGAACTAAATTAGAATCTCTAGATGCTTGGGTGCTTTTCAAAATGGACTCTTTAAGTTAAATAGATTTTTTGTTCTTTGACCATATATATTATTAGATATAATTTGAGAATGTCTGACACGGCCATGCGGTATGAGCCACTCAATCCGAGCAAGAGAGAGGCCTTCTTCACTTACAGCTCTGATATCTTGCATTAACCAAGTCATATCGATTGTTGCCACTTTCATTTTTGTTTTTCTCTAATGCTGCTTTGATTTTTGCCTCTTTGCTTCACTAGCCTTTTCGCACGTTTCCTTGCAACACGACAAAACGAACCATCTTGATAAAAATAAACTTAAACCCTCAGAAATGCATTTTCCTTGAGCGCACACACATCAAACCCCATCCCGTATTTGCATTTTCAAGTCTCCTTATTGTACAGTTATTAACGTTGTTGTTTTCTAACTGGACGAGCCAACAGCTAAGCGCAGACGTCTTTGGAAGTCAGTATACAAAAGTTTCCCTCCTTCAGGTACACGATAGACGAACATGTCCATAGTCATAAGACACAGTCCTTTACCGTTCATCTCGAAGCGATCCGGTTTTACGTTGTCTAGGCTGTAGGCCTCTGACATCCATCGCAACCATCTTGCGACGTCTTCTCTGGTCCACAGTCGGGGATCAGCTGTCGGGAAAAAGACAATGTATAGATTAATCAAAGCTTCAAACATGGAAATAGAGAACTATTTACTACATGGGTATTCAATCCCTCATCTTTTCTTTTCTCTTCTTTTTTTCTTCTTCTAACAAAATATGAAGTACACTATACGCAGACGACACTCGACTAATTGAGGTTTAGAAACAAGAACTCAGAGTGCAGGCAACTGCTAATTTGTTTTTCGTTGTTCCTGCTATGCCCCTCGTGTTAGGTTCACGTAATAAAGCGTCGAACTGATATGTACTAGAAATTTAAGTTCCGTTGACAGACTGGTCAAACCAACATATACCTGACCTAAGGTACCTGAACTACAAGCTAAAATATGATTGTCTTTCGTGTGAAAACCTGAAGCCATAGTAACCGTTGCTTCGACGAATCTAGCAACAAGCTTTGAATCCGTTAGAAAATTCGCTTCGTTTGGAGTTTATAACGATGTTAAAATTTTTTAATGCCGTAAAATAACTACGATATACCGCGCGCTCTGCTTGCCTACAGAGCGTGTTCATAAATCTCGATATAAGCACGGAAAGTGATGGCGACAAATGCATAAGATAAATAAGTAAAGGAAAGGAGAAGTTATTACAGAGTTGTGACTGATATGGAGACGAGATAAATAAGTTGACGTAAAACGGTATGCTTTTATGGCGCCAATATTTTATTATTTCCGTGAATTTTGACGGATATTTATGACTTTATTCAATTCGTTAATATTGGTAAGCGGACGGAAATGCTTTTTTTTTTCATTTCAATTTTGATCATCAGCAAAACTTTTTTCTCAAAGTTGCGTGCGCATGTAAACTGGAAGAGACTTTTGTAATCATTTTATCAAACATTCTTTGCTGATTTTAATTTCAAAACTCCGGTTTTGGTATCCTTCCCGTCACGTCGATTTTCTTGGATTTGCACGAGGGCGCAGCCCTGAGGGAAGGGGAGATTGACTTGGTTCGTAAATAAACCTTTCTCCATTTTTTGAACTAAAATTCCTACTGAGGAATCCTATATATAGAGCATCACTCCATCCCTCCCCTCTTAACTCAGACCTCTCCTCACCCTGTTGTATTGACGTCATCTCGCGTGATCCGTCACATGCTCTTAGGCGTTTCAAGGCTCGTTCCCTATTTATGGCTGACTGGTGTTGATTGTTTCCAAAAATATACTCCACTAAAATACAAAGTTCCATAAGTGTCCTCAAGCCGGTTCAACGTCTCGTGGGATAATACCAGACTGACTCGATTATTGTCTAAGTTTCATCGATGTATTGTATTAGAAGCCAAAACCTATCATTATATAGTTTGTGAACAGACAGCCAAGGTCATTCCTATGAATAATCCTGTTTATAAGTACAAAGACTTCGTGAACCAGACATTAGTGAGGTGTCAAGTGATGGGCGCTATTGCTACGACTACTACTGCACTGTCATAAAGAACTTATGGCCCTTAGTGTGTGGCCTTGTATCAAGTCTTATAGGAAAATTGCCGAAGAAATAACCTCTGGATTAAAACCAGCTCCAAAGACATTAGCCAATTAACAAAACAATAGACAAGTTCTAAAAATACTAGAATCTCGACTTCGTACTTTGTACGGAATGTCCAAAGGAATCTGTATGCTGACTCCCCAGGGGTACTGTTAGTGACGTAATAGCCATAGTCTAGTCTCTTTTACATGGGTTATCTCATGCTAAGTCTAGGCTTGGTACTTTGATCTTCAATGAGCGATTCATAACAAGATAAGAAAGATAAAGAAACCTCGATCTATTATCTTGGAGACAAGATAAGCGTAGTCCTAACTCGATTATGTATTTAGGTAGAATTTTTTTTGATTTTATTTTTTTGAGAAAAGAATGTCATATTTCAATAATATACGCAAAAAATCGATTGCCGTTGACTTTTCAAAACGAATATCTAAATACAAAGGAATTCGTTGTATATATTAGACGGCTGGGGATTTGTTACATGTTCAACATTTCATTACATCATTTATGGATGTTTAGTCATTTCCTGTTCGTCTTGTGATTTTAAATACGACAGGAGGAAGGAACCGCTACTACACTAATCAAAGCGGAAATATGGTCAAGACTACACATCTCTCATAACAAAAATTAAGCTTGATCCCTCTACCCTCATTTCATATGAGTAGAGTAGCGTTGCTTGTTGGTTCTCTCTCCTGTACTCTCCGTAAAAATCAACTTCTAAACTGATTCCAGTTCGAATTGGCGTTAAAAAATGACATGAGCCTCTACTCTGAGCTCAGAAGACTGGAAAAGCACTCCTTTCTTTGGGGGAATATATTTTTTTGTACGGTTCTCAGTGCACTTTGTTTTTATTATATAAAGACTAACCTGCAGGAAAGTGTTCTTCATGGTGGGGCGATTCGATGTATTTTTCTTTTTTCACTCTTGTGTGAACCGGTTGCATCTTGTCAATAAATCTGCTGTGTTCGAAAGCACTGGGTCGTAGAGCGACCGGGAAGGCTATTGTGGGATCCAGTCTAAAGAAAGAAAGAAAGCAAAACATCTATCAATGTTTGACTCAGTTCCACAATCGAAAAATAAATATAAAATGTATTCCACAAGTCCATGACACTAATATGTAACTATATCGTAAAACTTTTAGAACTAAGATCCAAGGATTCGACGCTTTAAAACTCAAAAAGTTAATACTCATTGTATCCAGCCAAGCTTGTCTAGATCACGTAAAGATGCATATATATATGTTTGTATACAAAAACATGTACAATCTGAATTACCGTATGTCGTATAATATAATCTGCTTTAAATACATACATTTGAAGAGTAGATATGTACGCCATTTAAGTGGAATTCCTTCACTTTTTTAAGCTTCAAAATCAGTTGAAATGTATGTGTATAAAGTCTAAAGTGTATAGAGTTCTGAGTCAGCAGAGTGTGTAGCGGTGAATGATGCGCTCTATGAACTATACCAAGATTTATAATGACGTAGGGATAATACAATTTAAGGTCGTACGCACGACAAACGCCCCCGCACGGAAATGATTAAAAATATGCGCCGTGTCTACTAGGAGGGGTTTGCTAAGAAATGAGGCGTTCTCGCTTAAGAAGAAAAAAGGTTTCAAGTAATCCTTTCCGTTTTCCTTTGTCTCACGTCTCATCGGTTTTCTATGCTTCCTAATACCACTTTATCACGCGATGAAAAAACCAGGAAATCGAGATGCGTTTAACATCGATCATTCCAGTGTGTGCAGTGTGTATGTGACGGATCATAGCCGCCATTTTGGTTGGCTTTGACAAATGATTTGTCCTGTCAACCAACATGGCGGCCACGTCTTTTGTGCGTCCCTTTATATGGTTTTATAAATGGGAAAGGATGTACTCCACAAACACACACACACACAAAACGTTAAGCTCTTTAAAATCTTGCTGTTTTTCACTCAAGCGATTCGAGAAAAACACTTGTAGTGATTCTTAGCACTTAGATCATAAGAACTGACGTAAAGTAAACTGAACAACATCATTGACTTATTTATATCTTTTTGAGTAAATTCGTTTTACACTTTGAAAACTTCTTCAAAAGAAAAACATTACAGAAGTTATGGTTAAAATAGATAACAAGATGAGTAAAATTAGTAGTAGTAGTAAGAATCCAAAAAGTATTTTTGTTTCAAAATAATTGGGAGTAATTGCGAGTAAATAAATTATACTCTTCAGTTTACTCCGACGAAGGGCTAGCGTCCGAAATGTCAGTAAGTTTTTTCATCTTTCCACGGTGTAAAATTTACCCTTTTTTCATAATTTCTAGCTAGTTATCTCTCCTTATGCACTTTTAAAGCTTCTTATTGAAAAAATCCACCAAGTTATGGTCAAGATATCTAACTTAGTGTTATCATTAGTAGTAAGAACTGAAAAGGTATTCTTGGTTTAAAAATAATCGTGATAGAAATAGGCCTATTTCTGTTGACGATATGCTTGGCTAGATAACGGACGTGACCGATATTGTGTTCACTGATGGAGAGTCTGGTGGCACATCACTGGCAGATATAGAAAGAAAGAGTGTCTATCCGGGAAGGTACACCACTCTTATCTATTTATATACTCGTGTTGTTTTAATATTTTCCCTTTTCTGGATCTCAAATGTGCAAGTTGTCTGTGCGCATAATTGGATTCAAGCCGTTCACGTTATTAGTCCTTATGAGGAACAGCACAGCACGTTCATATAAGGAATTTCCGGATTCCGAGAATGAATGTTCTTCGGACATACAACCGAGGCTTTTGCTAGTCATTTCATGTCGTCGTGTGGCTTCTGGTGATTAATATAAATCTGCTTGTATAAGTTTGATGACGTCCCAATGTCTTAACCATTGCATCCCCAATCATACATTGTGTTATGCACTCTCGGAAGCGACAAAAAACCAAGTTTCCGGTTGGCAGTGGCGCGAAAACCACAAGCAGACGAAAATCACGTTCGTTCGTTTATTTCTTTCGTTCGTTCTTTCGTATCTGTACTAGGCCCCATCGTTGTTCTCTCGGCCGGAGCGGAGAAATCGATTCTATAGAAACTAATAATTTAAAATGATATATTAAGGAAAATCCTGGGTCTGTTTCCTCTTGTCGGCATTCAGGAAGACTAATAAATCCAATATATTTTGACCCCGGAAAAGAATATAATTTCCTAGACAATTAAGTTTAAATTTTCTTGAGCTTCTAAAGTCTGTCGAGCATTGTCGTTTCCTGTTTGTTTTCTAAAACGACTCGGACTTTTTTCTGTTTGTTTTCAGTGGAACTGATTCCAGTTTTCCATCCATACGAATGAGATTTAAAAGAAGAGACAACATTAAAATGGTTTCCGAATTCCGGAATACACTGTGATTGGTTGGGCCGTCTTTGTTTTTGTTTTTTTGCTTTAAATTGGAAGCCATTTCAAAGTCACAATAAAGCGAACGTTTTCATTTTTCTACTATTCTCGTTATTTGACTGAACAGCCGTTTGATAGCAAAGCTTAAAACTATAAGTATCACTTGTAGTAGACTTGGGAGTTGCCATATAATACACTTTAAATTTGATAGTTTCTAGTTCTACAACAGGAAATAGCTGGAGAAGTTTAGGATCGACCTCTCCCTGTTTCCTTCCCTTCCTCGAAGCGGATATACATTCATCACCAAGAGATACGACAGTAATGTAGGGCGAGGTTTATACACAAAGTTGAGCTATGTTTTGGTTAATTTTAGACAAGGATTCATTCAAATGACAACAGTAAAGGACTGCGTTTTCTCTGTATTTTCTAGCGCTAGGTTTAGTATCGTTTCTCAGTGAAAAGCCGAGGTCGTTGCACAAAAAGAAATTGTTCTGAAAATGTGCTACTTTTTATTCATATCGAAAATGATATTTTGTCTATTAGAATTTCTTTTTAAAAAATTGATTAAACGTGCGAGAAAAATTGGCCGACTTCAGCTGCAAACACTGAAAATACAGTGATATTCCTCTTGCATAGATGAAAATGAAATTGAGTATCGAAATGAATAATAAGTAGATGATCGATGATCTTGTTTTCCACAAATAGCGATTGATTTATTCCAAAAAAAACGAGGAAGATAAAGCAACGAAAAAATATAACTGAATAAAATACTCCCTCAATGGTTGAACCCAGGCAAAAAGGAAAAAAAAAAATTTAAATCTGGCAATTCGTTTTAATAAATCGTACATAGAAAGGACGAAGGATTTTCAATCAACTCAATTACAATATTCTAAAATGTACTCCAAGTATACCAATATACATTCATTAGAGAACTGTCCATCTTTCCAGTCAGTAGACGTATCGTATCAATGTTGGTTTTCTCTATCGAATTTGAATTAAAAGTGTTTTGTTTTATTTGTTTCAAATCTTTTCGCTTTCGTTACGAAAAGCTGCTTAAAAGTGGTTGGCTTTCTGGTAGATAGACATAACAACTGAAGGGAAGTATATATTCGTGATGAAAATTCATCCCAAGATAATCTTCTCACACCCGGCTGAGGCTAAATTATTAGACACGAAATCTCAAAACTGTTCTGTTATTCAATTTATACGATATTTGAAGACATTTTTGATGCTCAATTCAACTACAAATTTATCCAGTGAAGCTAAACTAACCATCTTTGAGAATTATTTTTTATTTGGCGAAATTGGACGAAATTGTTTCAAACAACACTTTCATTTGTATTTCTTTGATTCTCCCTTCGTTTCCTCACTAAAAATTAAAGATTTATATTAAAGATTGTTCGACGTGAAAATGGTTGTTTTCTTGTCTCAGTTCAACTTCATATTCACTTTCTAAACAAGTTCCTCACAAATAAAACAGTAGAATAACAATTTTACAGTAAAGAACATTCGCTTCTTCATATCTTGATCATGAAACAGCGTTCCATGAGTCTAAAGCATAGAAAAGTGATACTTTCCTCATTTTCAGAGTCCCACACCCTTCCCACAATAACAGAAACAATACCTCGATTCAGGTTGTTCAAGGCACAATTAGTTACAGTTTCATTATAGTGAAAGCCTTTCCGTATCTTGGTTAGCAAGTAGTGGTTTGTCTTGCCACAGGCAGACACAAACGTGGTCGATCCAAGATAAGATATTCGTCAATTTTTAGCCGACACATGTTGTAGTGAAATAGCTTGAGTTTTATTTCCGTAACATTCAGTCATCGTAGAATGGACTCAGAAATCAAGGACCCTCGTTTTGTTGAAGGAATTTGTCGAAGAATCATTTCGAGTATTAAAGCAATAGTAGTTTTTTTGTAAAGGATTCTTTTTATTTCGAAAGTGAAAATTTCTGCCATCGACACAATGTTGTCAAGAGAGAATAGAATCAGCATAGACAACTTTTACTGAAATTAAAAATTTTACCAACGCATTTTTACTTCTTTATTAAATACCGCATTCTTATAATGAATTGAGCTATCACAAAAGAATAGAATAAGACGTAAGTTCGCTTGAGTGACTGTAGCGTGATTTTAGTCAATATTCAATGGTTCTCATAAAAAAATGCGAAAACCGCATAATTCTCTCCGCTGAGGACGTGGTCAGAGTAGAGGAAATTAGAGCGGTAATGTACGTGCGAAATATACAATACCAAAGGAAATAGAGATGGGAAATCACAGTCACTATGGAATGTTTCGCTTTGAACTTCGACTTCTTGTTTTGGTTTTCTCAGTCTCAAATACACTAAAGTTTTTTTACAGTAAATTCGAGTCAAAAAAATTAAAAGTATGTGTTTGTGTCATTTAGTGAACGTGAGCTAATCTGAGTGTACCCTGCGAGGAGTGATCCTCCGTTCAGGTTAATGGAGGGCATAATGAAGACCTCTTCAAGAAGGGTAATCTGAGTCAGCGAATCGAAGACAAAAATCGTCGTCGTAAAACTAAAAAAAACCTATTTAAAAAGCGTCTCAGAAGCGCGTAAACTTTGCTGTCCATCTGCTCTTAAAAACGACACTCAAGGAGACAAATGAATAAGTATCATTTCTTAGCGAACTTTGATTTTAATTTGAAAATTCGTATGCTCATTTTGTACGTGTGTGTCAGTGAGCGAGTGTCGATTTAGCCGGCTGAAACACTAAGCAGTGGCATTTTATAACAACAGTAAATCCTACTTTAATAAGAAATTCAGCGAAAAACCGTTTTTCCTGAATTAAATTCTTAGCTTTTTTGCTTCAAGAAGCCTTGCGAAAGTTGAAGCGCGAGTTTCCAAACTTTTTCATCTCAATGGAATGAAAAATTAAAATCTATCAATAAAAAGCTAAAATGAAAGCATAAAAACGAAAGAAAAACAACAACAACAATGATAATAACTACAACAAAAATGAATAAACATCATTATAACAAAATTCAAAGGAAACGAGTTGCTATAATTTCCGCGGAAACGATGGTTAATTAGAAAGTTTAAAATTTAATTTTTAAGGCGAAATTGAGCAATAATATTGAATTATTTCCAAATAACTTGAATGAAAAATACTAATCCTCTTACCTTGGAAAGATAGTAGAATCAATATAAAGTAATAAAATATCCACAAAATCGTGATTTTTAGAAGCGGAGAGAGAGCAAGAATAAAGCTCTGAAGCCGATACAGGACGCAGTAACGTATGACTAGTGGATTTTACGCTAGGCGGAATGAACTCCAATGCTATAAATGATGCTGAGTCAAGGATTATGACGGCCGGCGCGGCATACGTACACGGAAACCACAACAGTTGTGACCGGGAATGGTAATTGAGGTTACTAGTGGCTTGTAGATGGTTGTGAGTAGGTACAAGTATATATATATATATACAAGGCGTGTTGCCTCTCTGATAATCGTTATCATACTTAGATATAATTAGATTTTTACACTTTTTAAGTAGTCGCTAGCATTTAGGTTTCCTACTTGTACTTGCGCGGGTTGCCTCAATTGCTTGCGAGGATACCTAGACATACATATAACTGCACGAATCTATTATTTTTACCTTGAATTAGTATTGGTCTGGCTGTAGGTTTCTGTAGGATAAACCATCTTGTGTTGTAGTGGTTGAGATTGGGTTGTCCAAGGCGGTACGGCAGTATCTTGGGTGTATTGGATCCCGTTTTCGTAAGAGTGAAAATATCCGTTGGTGGGGTACTGGTTGTTAAACACTTGGTAGTCCTGCCTTGCATACATACTATAAGACTGTACTATATAAAGTGTGTTTTTAAATCTTAGTATTTCCGTTGGTAATGTTCGCACGCCCAGTTAATAACCAGTAGTAGAGCCAATGTTCAGTTGTCAAAACATGTGCAATTGTAGTTTGGGCTTAGCGAGTTGACCTTACTCGAGTAGACCGGAAATGACATCGTGAGGAGGTCTCGACACTCCATCAAATTATAGATTACTCCAGATAAATTCCTTTCGCTTTGGTAAAATTAAACTCCAAAAATCCGCCTGGCTGGAGGCTTCTTTGTCGTATTGTTGGCTAAAACTATTAACAGAGTTGAAGCCACTGAAAATTGTTATTTTTTTGCGGTATTGAACGTGAGGTGTTATCGGCAACACGTCGGAAACCGACAGGAAACCGGAAACTCTGACGCGCAACAGCGTATTTGTGACCGGAAGTCCGAGACAAAAGGGGGTATTTTGAAGCTCACGGTAAGGCATTGAATTTTATTGACAAAAAAGTCAATGGTTAAATTACCCTAGCCGATCTAATCAAACATCGAGAATTAACTTGACATTTAGAAATTCGTACAATGAGATTGAGTATTTATTTTTCTTGCTTGGCTTACTTGATGTAATTAATTTGGCGGGTGATCTAAGCTGCGATTATAGATATCCGTAGTGATCGCCATGAAAAACTGATACATACGGCAAGGATGTCAAAAAAAAAAAACTCTTTCAGGAAATACCACGAAGAGTGGTGTCTGGGTTGAAGGGATGATCGGTGATTGACGTCTTATTTCTTCATATTCGTTCTGTCAATTTAGACTAGAAATTTTGTTATTGATATGGCTCTCGTATCCAATAATTATATCACTGATAAGAAACCCTGTGCAATGGAGTCGTTAAATGTCATTTACTCGCGCTTTTTGGATGTCAGTTCAAATCAAGAGCGGCGCCAACTTTATTATAAAACTCAAAGCATGAGATTCTTCGTAGTTCACTCAAGAATTATGTATTAGAGCATCTTATATCTATTTTTATATTTATTACCGACTAGTTAATGCCTAGACACCTTTTTAAAAGGATGGAGCACTGGGTAATTGGGGGGGAGGGGGCTGGACGCAGGAATTTATGTTTTGGAACAACCACTGGACGCAATTGTTTTTGTGATTGCTCGTTTTTTTCTTTACTGAATTATTTAATGGTCCGTTCCTTATATTTGATTAAAAGCAGTTTTAGATTTCAATGTATGTATCGAAGCGTTAAAATTCTTTACAATTTTTAGCAGTCTTTTAACACCGGAAATGAACTACTTTTGGAGAGTACAAATGTGTCTCGCTTCTCGTCTATTTTTATCACTAAAATACCATCATAAACAAGCAGAATAGACGTTGGGAAGGAAGAGATTTAATTGATTGAATTCTATCTCTTAATATGAGAATATAATACTTTGTTTACGTTGAATTCGAAATGGCATCCTGCCAGGATCTGGGGATGAATGAAAACCACATCTATCTATGGGGGGAAGGGTAGGTCCACACCTATCTCTGGGGGGTGGAGTAGGTCCGCCTAACTCATGACTGATTGAGTTTTAATCGCGCGTCAATATTTCTGCTTTTAAATGCTGCTAACAAGGAATACCGTTTCTTTGACCAAGTAACGTAATTCTGATTCAGATATAACTTTCAGCGCAACAGGACATGTACAGTTTCCTGTGGTGTAGGAAATGTGTACAAGTTTATCTATGAAGTGAATAGGAACCCTCCCTTGTTCCTTCATTAGGAAGGAAGAAACCCAGCATAGGACGGGAAAACTATCACGTTACACTGATTACTGTATCATCTACTCTTCCAGTACTTCCAGTTTAAATGGTTCAACAGATATTACTGTAAAGGAATGCCTTTGGTACGGACCATTAGATTTTTGAGGGGGGGGGGGGGGAGTTTTTATTTTACTAGTAAAAATAGGACCGTTAGGTTTTTGATTTTGCCGGTTACAGTATAATGCAAACATTTCTCTGGTCCTTCGCAGCAAGGAATGCTCTGTAATGCACTCTGTATACAAGGGGAGAAAGGCATTGTTTCTCGCATTAAAAGTCTTATGATTGAGTAGATGAGAAGGGTTCACTTCCAAAAATTCCTTTGAAAGGTGGGGGACAAAAGTACTTGATGAAATACCGTGGGTTGAAGAGCTGTATCTACCCTCAGAGACGCGCCTTCTTAGACGGTAGTCACTCCTTGTGTACTGGCTATATCTGAGTTACCCCTGTACCCCCAACATTTGAAGTTGAATTCGGTAATTCCTTACTTGATATGTATTCCTGTTTTATTTCTCATATCTAAGAGTTATCTTAATCGCCAGGGCACGGGTTGAAATCCCGTTTTTCTTTCAATTCGTCAGTCTCTCAATTTACAACTGCATAAGTTGTTTTATATACTGCGAGGATCAGCTCAATTTGATACATGAGTTATCTTAAGCTGAAACTTTTCCACTGGTGCCAAAAGCTGTGGCCTGATATGAAGCGGAGTTAAATTGCATGCCAATTGTGATCAAGTATAAGCGTTCCTTATTAGCAGAGGCGACAATCACTGGACTCTGAAAGCGCGGCGTAGCGTAAAAACACCCGGAAACGAACCTGGGTTCCTAAGCATATAATAAATACATAGCTCATGCAAAAAANNNAAAAAAAAAAAAAAAAAAAAAAAAAAAAAAACTCAAGTAAGAAGTAAGAATTGTTCTGTTATCAACTCGTGCTACAAGCCCCTTAAACACAGCTGATCAAAGAGAAAGGTGTTCTTAGAGAAGAGAGAAGTTGAAACAAAGAAAGACAATTCCCGCAGTTTATGTACATTGTTATGTACAGTAATGTATCGCCACGGCGCGCATTCCCGTGAACCCAGGAGCAAACTTCTGTCGCTTGGTTCCCGCTACCAGAAGTTTAATACTACACGTAGCGCCGTTATCATACCACATTATACTCCTTTGAAGAAATGTTTTTCATTCTTCACCGTCCCGACATTCCATCACTAGTATTCCTTTCCATATTTTGTCTATTTTGTCTAGTTCCAAAGTGTTTTATCTTGTACGTCAAGATAATCTTTCAAATAACAGTTGTGAGTAAAGTTAGTTTATTTAGTGCTGGCCGTCATAGCCTGTTGTGGATCTTCATATTTAGATATTAGTGTTTACCGTAGAGTCAAAATGTTTGTTGTTTGGTCCACCATAGTGGAGCCAGTTCTGTTTGTTTTAGTTTGTTCTACGTCGCGAATCTGTCATCTCGTTATCAGATACTTCCGGTCGGCCCTTTTAGGCTCTTTACCCGTTTCCGGTCTTACTTTTTCATTAGACAAACAACTGAAAGCCTGGGAAAATGAGAACGGAAATCAAAGTGTCAAGATCCGGCTTAGTTTGATCACCAGTGAGAAATAAGTGCAGTGAACAATCAGGTTCAGGTCTGGATTAGATTTGTGTGTGAACCTTGTACTATGTTGAAGCTGAGACGAGTTCAGTAATTTAAATTCCATACACGGTTATTTTTCTATAGCTTATTCTATATATATATATTTTGAAATACCGAAATATCTGAATGGGCTTCCTGTGATGAAACGATGCAGGGTAGCCTGGGTTACAGTTGGAACCTATCGCACGCGCAACATCCACACAGATGCGCCTGCATAATCTGTATCAGGCTCTCTTAACTCCTCCCTCCATAGGCACTCCGCCAAGCCGGCCTGAAACTCAGGAAAGCCTGCTAGGCACAGAAGTGAAGAACACAGAGCTCACTGCGAACTGAAGCAACAAAACAACAAAAAAGAAAGAGGAAAAATCTCAGAGAGTAAAGAGGGCCAGTTAATTGAAAATGAGGCAAAACAATGGTCATCATTATATCGTAGTGTACTCAGTCAGAATTAGTCATGTTTTGTTGCACGTTTTACAAGGTCGTTTCTGATTTTTCACTCATTAACGGAAGAAGTATTGCGTGGGTATAAACATCGTGCTCATTAGCACGCGCTTTAGTGCCACTGCGGACTATCGTCGAGTCGTTCAATAATCTCTTGGGATACGCTCCTGACCTTGGCTTTCCTTCAAAGCAAGGAAATCGTAGAAGTCTAAAATTCGATATAGAACTAAGGGTAAAAGCTTCACTGCTGGCCTTTATAGGATTTTTGTGTAAGAAATTGAATTTACCCCGTATATGGTTATTGTTAGAGCAGATCCTATATTGAGAGTAAGAGGTAAATGGTGGCTCCAGATACCAGTGGCGGATCCAGGGGAGGGGTGCAGGGGGTGCGCACCCCTCCCTGGTTCGACTTTGTGCCCCTACTTCAAAGATTTAACCAATACATAATCATGTTTTTTCCCTTAGATTCTAAGGGGTGCACCCCTCCTTGGGTTAACTTTGTGCGCAGCACCCCTCCCTGGACAAATTACTGGATCCGCCCCTGGATCATTAAATTATTAGGCCATTCATTATACTTTATATTTATTGTATTTTACTGAAAAATGATAGGAATATGTTAAAACACAGCACCACCATTTGGATCCAATCTGAGCCTACTTTAGCTTACTTTTATAATATTTGTATTGAAATGCCCTTACCCAAAGGCCAAAACACGTCAGATTGACTTCAAATCGCGCACAGAGACAAAGAACCCCAGCAGCAAGAACAAGCACGCAAAAATTAGTAAGCCAAATTTAAAAATTACTATAGATATTCTTACGATATATAATTTCACATACATTTCCCCCCCTATGTAATGAGTCACAAGTATAATGCTTGGGCTTCCTGTGATTAAACCATTGTTTCTACGATCGGATATTTCATTTTTTTCTCTTAATTTGCTGGAAAACATTCAAATTATATCATATAGCGATAAAAGTAGTTAATCATAATTATTTAATACAAAAGAGTTCGAAAGGAGGCCTACTCAACGTTAGCTAATCACTTTTAATGTCATTTACATAGATTTACACGCAAATGAGTCGCACTCAAAATTGCAAGCTTCAAGGAAAGTTTTCGACGTAAGCAAAGCTATGTGTAATAACAATGATATAGAGACTTCAAAATTTAAAATACATACCCTGTAACTGTTAGCAAGGCCTCGGCTGTCCCGGGGGTACTACCACCCCAACTTGGGTAGGGGTGTGCCGCCAGGACCTCAAAACCCTGACCCTATCCAAGACTTAAAATTTTTGATTTTACATACCCTATCCCAGACTAAAACTAAGAATTGTACACCCTATCCCAGACTAAAAGACGGAAAATACGGTTTTACAATCGATTGCAATCAATATTTACTAACGTTTTTATTGTTTTTGTGTCGGCAGAAAGCGTAGCCTATTCACCAGACAAAAACGACCAAATAGTTAACCCTATCCCAGAATAAAATGATACCCTATCCCAGACAAAATGTCAAAAAATGATACCCTACCCCAGACCCAAAAGCCGAAAAACCATACCCTATAGGGCGGCACATACCCGTATAGCAAATATAGGGGAGTACCCCCCCTGGGTCGGCTGTACAGTATCCTTATTGAGTTAATGCCGTCACGTGAGTTTGGCAGGGAACGTCGTTCGCTTTGGCCTTATACGCACGTGTCGTGTTTACCACAGGGAGCCCAGAAGAGTTTAAGAACGGCGACCATCTTTGATTCTTTCATACGGTAAGTCAAAACTTCCCACCCTTGGCAGGACATAGCCGGCATATGACAATCAGACTAAGTCTTTTGATCACATTTAGAGTAGTTTCTTTGACTTGAAACTTCAGATTTTAAAAGTTGGAACACTTTATTAAGTAAAAAAAAGCTGTTGAAAGTCCCAAACACTCAGGACCGTAACCAGGGGTCTTGCATGATCATGGGTGCACAGGGAACGGAAATGGAACTGTCTAAACTTAGAGCCATCTTTAGAAGTGGTTTTACATACCAAGGAGAACCGAAACAAAAGATGTGTGATGGGTTCAAAAACCAACCTAGATTTTGCAGAAGAAAAAAAAGCAAAAAATTCATTATTAAAATAGATGAGCAATATATAGTTAAGGCTGCGTTCATAATGTATGGCAGAGAGGGGGGAGGCACGTGAAATTCAGGGGGGATCGGGAAAATATTGGTAGGAAACAGGGGGAGATGGGCAAATTTTTATCAGAAAAACCTGCCCCCCCCCCCCCCTGCAATACATTATGAATGCGGCCTAAAATGCTACAATCTACAGATGGAAAAAGGGGCCTTCAGCTTTAGTATGAGGGGGAGATGAATGTGCACCCAATCCACCCCTGTTGGTTACGACCATGCCAAAGGTATTTTGTTACAGTATTAGAAATTTCTTGAATTTGCATGAGTGACCACAAAACAATGGCACTAAGTCAAGGTTGGACATGATGTGTTAATACATTATTTTACTGTATTTTATCAAGTCCACTCAAGCATAGTTAATAGAGGGCAACTGTTCCCCTCTATTAACTATGACTCAAGCAAATTTACGACTAATAATTTAAGGTCTGTTATGACTTGTGTTTGATTCCGGTGATAAACTGATTGATTACTATTAGTGCTAAAATTTTCAGATATGGATATGAGGGGAGACACCTTATATAACAGTGACTCGCAAAAAAGGAGCACAGAGCACAAAAAGACATAAAATATTAATAATGGTAATTGAACTGAGTGGAGTGCAAATCTGAAATCAAACACGTGATTACAAAATTCCATGACTGCATAGCTAGTGGGAGTGCAATTTGTTAATCAGAAGTTTGATTTCAGACCAAAATTACATGACACAAAGTTCAATTACCACTTGATTATATCCATTTTGAAATCCCCTGCTATAATCATAATACATTTAAAATTAAATTTTACTAAAATTTAGTCAAAAAAAAAGTCTTCCACCTAAAAAATTTCCTTCAATTTTTTTTCTCATGCCTTTTTTTTCACCTTCTTCTCTGATATGTGATTGGTCAAATTCTATTTTTCTGCAATTTCATTGGCTCTTCAAAAGAGTGCAATTTGAAACTCAAAATGGTGTTATCCATGATTAAATTCTTACATTGTCAACTTTCAGATAGAGCGCAAACAATTAATCTGTGAAACACTAATTACTAAATAGTACAAAATAGTGCTAATTAAACAATAGAAAACAATGGAATTTGCATGAAATTGTACTATTTAGTATTACTAAAGTTTCACGGTTATATTGTTTGCACTCTAGAAGCTGACAATATTTTAGTGTTAAATAAAGTAATAAACTGTCATTAACAGATACACCTATACATAACATTCATTAATTTTTTAAAATTTCAAATATTTTAAATTTTACTTTGTTAATATAGTGCAGAACTCATACCATACTTTAAAAGATTTCAACATGGACCAAAAGGAACAGTTTGTAAGTTGTTGATTATAATAATCCTAAAGAAATCAGTTTCTATGTTACTACCACACATCTATAGTTCAGGCTTGCACTGTGTAGTTCCAGAAAATATTCATATTCTGCCATGGAGAAATTTGTAAAAGCACCTCCCTAACCCCAGGAACTTCCAATTTTCTTCCATACAAACTTTGTAATTTTCTTCTTCCTCTAACCCTACTCCCCTCCAGAATTTTCAATTTCCTCTGTGGTGGGGTATGTATTTTTTTGGAACTGTACATTGGTCTACTGGTCCAGTGCTTCAAAGGAGCTAATATGGCTCACCACATGTGAGTTGAGTTTGTTTGATATGTTGTTCTCTCCCTGGCAAGGAGAGCTTTTTTAGGTTCTCTGGGTTTCCTTCCCAGAGGAGGACTGAAAGGAGGGGGGGGGGGGGGGGGGGGGGGGGGGGGGGGGGGTAAGAAAAAGTAGGACCCTGAAATTTTAGTGGCCTTCAAAAGGTCTTCCAATAATATTGATGAGCGATGTATAGGAGAGCCTTCAAAAAATAAACAGCTTGCAGGGGCTCCCAAAGACATACTAATCAGGGGTGGATCCAGGAATTTGTTATGGGGGTGCCCCAAATGAAGAAATGTTGTAAATGTTTCTTTTGCTTCAAAAAAAGCTTAAGTAACAATGCCGTTTAGAACGATAGCAAGAACAATAGGCCCACAGCATGGGCAGCCATTTACGATTTGGATTACGGCAGTGTTAATTAAATTATATTTTTCAATCTTATTGGCTTAAATTCGAAAAGCGCCAAATTTTCGTTCTTGTTCTTATACAAGTCCAGTATAGTTGCTGTAAATTGGCGCGCAGACTTGTTGAGCAACGATTGATAACATAGGCGAGTTTGGAACAAATTGTATAAGGGGAACATCACAAAATAGATTTCCGAGTGTTCCCCACATATGATTGGTCTAAAAAAAATTCGGGCAATAGTTCCGATGTATCTTTGGTAAATGGAATGACAATTCAGTACTATTTCGGCGTTTTTCCGTAAAAAATACAATGACTATTTTTTTCGGCCAATCAGAGAGTTTGGATATAATTATTTAAGCCAATTATAGAAATCTTCACTGCGTATGCCTTGCCTTTGGGTGCTATCGTTCTAAACGGCATCGTTACTTATTAAAGTAATTACAGCATTACAGTGTCTGTTGCACCCCAGGACCCCCTCCCCCTGAATCCACCTATACTAACATACTAATTAGCTGTAGTAGAAAAAATGCTTGTTTGCTATTTTCTCCCCCAACCCTACCCCCTTTCATGTAAATAATAAATCGTCCCTAAAGGTCAACATGTAGGTTGTTGTGATGTCAATTGTGATTGGAACAAACCAGGAAAGCCCAGGACAAAAAGAGATGCTTGTAAAATATCATCAAAAGTGTTTTTCTTATGATATACAGTTATTTGTCATAAGTCATTTCTTCAAGTCATATCTATTATGTTTACCAGTCCCCTCACAGCCATATTCCATATGGGGAAGCTGGGACAGGCTTCTACACTGATAACACACTAGGATGCTATAACGTGATACAAGAGGCAACTCCATTGGTTCTGGAGTCAATAAAAAACACGAACATCAAGGGTGGATCTGTGTTCACCATAGCTGATTATGGGACAGCTGATGGTGGAACTTCCATGCCTATTATCTACGCTTGTGTCAAAGCAATACGAGAGAAGTATGGAGAAGAGCTAGCAATCAATGTAATCTATGAGGACCAACCAGTCAATGATTTTAAGTCTCTGTTCATGAGAGTACATGGTATATAACTGTTCTAAATTATAGAAATTAAATGTAGGTGCATTTCCCTTATTATAAGTCTGTAAATGTTACAATTCTATTTTACAGGTCATATCCCTGGACCACCATCATTTCTTCTGGACTTCCCCAATGTGTATGTAACAGCTAGTGGAACAGACTTCTACAGTCAATGCTTTCCCAAAAATACTGTTACTCTGGGGTTCTCTGCTACAGCAATGCACTGGCTGCGTAAAAAGCCATGCAGCATAACAGGTGCTTTGCATCATACCATGATAACAATCCCTGAAGAAGGGGAGAAGTTTCGTGAGCAGGCAGCTAAGGATTGGGAACAGGTATTACTGAAGAGAGCTGATGAGCTCATGCCAGGTAATTGGCAACCATTATCTGACATCATCAACAGCAAGCACACCATCACCATCATAGCTGCACCGCCATCATCACCACAATCATCAGCTACACAACCACCATCACCATCAATAATAATACTTTATCATCATGCACCATCATCATCACCCTTATCAATATCATCAGCCACACCACCATTCACCATAATAATAATAATACTTTTTTATAATACACCATCATCACCAGCTGCACCACCACAATCAGCAACACTTTCAGCACCGCTGTCATCATCAGCACCATGGGTACCACTGTCATCATCAGTACCATGAGCATCACTGTCATCATCAGCACCATAGGCATAGCTGTCATCATCATCATATAACCTCTATTATCCCTCTCATCAACATTGCCATCCTAATCATCATCAACACTATCATTGCCATCATATAATTCAGTAGTTTATGCATGTTGCAAGAAAATGATGAGTCATTGCATCTTTTCAGTTTGTGTGCTTCATATCTCTGCACTGACAAACTATAAACAACTTATTGTAGGTGTGTTTTGTTACCCCTAGGATGTCAAATGGTTCTTGTGCAGTTTGCTGTTGATGAAAAGGGCCAGTTTCTTGGCAACACAGATGGCAATAAAGTATCCATGCATCATTTGATGCGTGACCTGTGGAAAGGTTTTGTTAGCGAGGGCAAGATAACGGAGGTATAAAGCAAGAGTTGTTAAGCCACAGGAAGGCCAATTTACAAATTCGGGGGCTTTCATTTATTAGTGCATGGGGGGTCAGCAAAATTGCAGGGGTAGGGGTTGCGTTATTTTTAGAAATTGGTTAGGGGGGCATATTTCACATATCAAGGGGGGTTGAGAACTATGGCAGGGTGATGAAAGGGGGGTTATACAATTTTTGCCTCTACTATGGGGGGGAGGAGATTGGGTTATGTTTGTAAAGCTTTTCATGTGATTTTGCCCACCCCCTCCCCCCACCATGTTCTAGTACATGAAAGCCCCCTTACCAGTTTAAGATTCAATGGTATATAAAATCATAATTATGTTTTTTTCTTTCTTTTTTGTTTTCTCAGGAGGAATTTCATCACACTACTTTTGTCAATTACTATCGCACACTTGAGGAATTCAAGAAGCCTTTTGAGACAGACTCACCCGTTACTAAAGCTGGTTTGAAACTGGTTTCCATGGAAACACGTGTGGTGCGCTGTCCATATAAACAGAGATGGATGACAGAGAAAGGCGACCCTAAAGAGCATGCTAAACGATATGTACCTACCACGAGGACTTGGAGTAATAGTACCTTTTTATCTGGTAAGCAATCTCAGTTTGGTAATTGTAATCAGCGAAGTATACACAATGCGCATGCTCCATGCACATGCTCCATGATGTATAGAAAGTTGTTTTGCTCCTCGAGTTGGAGGGCTTTTATGGGTTGTTTTAGTATATACCTTGCCAATCCCTAAAAAAGTTGATAAAACTGTTGTTTTTTTTGTCACTCTACAACCATATACGGAAGCCAAGATCCTTGCACAACTCACTGACTGATTTACATATAATTCATTATCCCGAGTTTTGGAGGGGAATATGGTAGAATATTCAGCGTTTTTTAACCAATCAGAGCGTGCGTTCTTGGGAGGTTGAACTAATGAATAAACTAATTAGTACTATTTTCGGATATTTAACATGAATAGGTGGTTCAAAAGTCTATCATAAACATTTTTTGCCTCATTTTCACCAGGTTTATCTGACTCTCGTTCGCCCGAAGAAAAAGCGAAGATCGTTGACGAGTTTTTTCAGCGTTATGAGGATGAAGTGGCAAAGCACCCAGAGGATCATGGGATGGACTATGTACATGCCTACATTGTCGTAAAAAAAGAATAATTGTAATTACCAATTATTGGTAATTGGAGACCTTAGTCTTTTATAGACTTTCGCAAAGTCCTTCCAAGCGCGCTAGGGCAAAAAATGGTGGTTTTTTAGCCATTAGACTCTGTTATATTGGTGGTTTTTTAGCCGTTAGACTCTGTTATATTGGTGGTTTTTTTTTTTATTAAAAAAATCTGTTTAAACTGTTACTTAGTGTTCTGTTATGTGCTGGCTTGATTTTTTTCAGTTTTCCCGTCTATATACGCCAAAAATACTGCTGTGACCAACGGTTTAATCGTACTCTTATTCTCTCGATTTAATACATGGGGTAGAGTGCACGCCATATATCCGTAAAAAGAACCGATGATGCTTGCGCTCTATCAGTCCATTCTCCATTCCTCACATGTTTCATTCTCCATCTCCAATTTCCCCAATCCCTATTCTACATTCCCCATTCCTCGTTAGAATATGTATATTTATAAAATTTGAACAATAAAGTAAATGCGTCACGTTCAAGGGGTGTTCATTGTGCCGACGACCAATAAATTTAGTTAAAAACATTAATGATATAACAATTGACCAATCAGAATTGACTATTGTCTGACCTCAAAACTTCCCACTAGAGTCACGTGACAACCAAGCAACCAGAAGGAGCGAAAGTAAGCCGCCATATTTGTGCTTTCGGAATAAATACGAAAGGAAAAGAGCTAAGAGTGGTTGTTTTAGCCACAAACATGATTCTACTTTCAGTAATATTATCTGTTAACCTGTTAACGGTAAGTGAAAATAATTTTTTAGTTTCAATTTGGGGAAAACTATGTTGAAAATGAAATTAATTGTTTGTTGGTGCTTGTCCTTCGAGCAGCGCGTCTTCCACACGTTATTGATTCTTTGCTTCGCTTTTCTAGTGTAAATAAAATATCTTCGTCGCTTTGAAAACTTTCACTAACATTCAAAAGTAATTGTTCCTGAGATACTAGTTTGTTTGGGTCGTGGAAAAGCTAGAAAGGTTGACGAATCGACCCTTATGTTTGTGTTTATAATTTTTGAGGATTTTAACATTTCGAGTAATAGCCACAACGTCGCTGTAATTTTACCGAACAAGGCATGCTTTCTTTGCCAAAAAAACCCTCAAATTATATACAGGAATCATTTTTGGTTTCCATTTCGTCATGAATTCATAACCTTGAGTTTTAACTACATCGTTTTGTTGTTGTTTTGAAACTTGATAGTATATATCTCCGCAAGGTTGTGGTGGTAGATCGCGAGGAGTATAAAAATTGCAATGCCTAACATAACGCAATTTTACTGCCCCTGAATTATAATAAACCATCAATTCCCTCTAATAACACGGAAACTATGATTTTAGTAGCACAAGAACTGATTGCACTAGTTATGGGGATGTTTTTTGACTATTCTTATATTCAATTTCAAATGATTAGGTTAGTCTCGACTCGACTAGTTTTTGTGTCGAGCTCTTAAATGGTTTTCGATGTCGATGAGAAAACGATAAAAGAAAGAAATCCATCAATGTTGCTTTATGTGGATGCTTGTAGAGTAATGATTTGATAAAATACAGATGGGTAAATAAAAAATGTAGTTGAGGTTCATACAAAACTCCTCTAATACAGACTTCAACAACCCTTATTTTGAGGACAATGTTCTATGATTGCTGATTCTTCAGTTTGATAATATCGAGATCTTATCTTTTCTGTCATTTTAATTCTTATTTTAACTAGTTTGATTCGAAATATTATTTGTTATAGCTTCTTTGCTAATTTCTTTTTTCTCCAAAGTTTCCCAAAAATTAAATATATATAAATATATTTATTCATTGCTGAAATATAATTATCTATGCAAGTTTTTTTTTAAGAAATTGAGAAAAAAGAACGAAATTCTATAAGCACAATTATAGAAGATGGTATAGAATTTGTATCAATTATTTTTCATGCGAAATGGAAAATAAAAAATTTAAAATAAAAAAATTAATTTAAGAAGTTCAAATTGAAAGCTTTGCAAGAATTTTTGCTGCAATTTTAATTTCAATTTTGATAAATATAAGATCTATATATATCTAGTCTTTGTGTTATATTTTAAAAGAAGACAATCAAGCTGAGCTTGTAATCAAACATTTACATGTTGCTCAGACTGCAAAGATAGAAAAAATATTCATAAAGATTTCAATTATTTTCCAAGTTTCCTAAAGATTTTATTTATTTTCCAAGTTAGTTTGCACATTATTTCATTTAATTTTCCAACATTGTTATAAAATGTTCTTAGTAAGTAAAAATGTGGCTACATAAAGATTCTTATTAACACTCCCTAAATGACAAACATAATTTTCAGGAATATTTTCGCTTGTTCTTCATTAATTATTAATAGGAGGTAAGTTTGATTGTATTTGTATTCGTACAGTTACTTCTCTGATTAGTATTTCAGCAGTAAGTTGAAAAATAACAATATTTTGTACAAGCTTTCCAATTCAACATATTGAATCATTCAACTTGATAATGAGAAACTTTTTCAAACCAATTTTTTCGTGCCTAAATATGCTCTGATATTGTACTTTTAGTGGAATTTAAGATTTTTATGCCAATATCTGCTGCAAATTTTTATTATATATATTTTTTCTTAAGAGTTTGAGGTTGTATTGCAGTAATTGATTTGTAACAACGACCACCATCACCTCCAACTAAACCTCTCTCTCTCTCTCTATATATATATATGTAAATTATACACCATGAAAAGATGAAAAAATTTACTGACGTTTCGGACGCTAGTCCTTCGTCGGAGTAAAAGAG